GGTTTCTGCTTTTGCTTCTCTCTCATTCTCTCCTGCCACTGCCATGTAAGAAGTGCCTTTTACTTTCTGCCGTGATTATGAGGCCTCCCCAGCCATGTGGAACAGTGAGTCCATTAAACCTCTTCTTCTCAGTCTCAGATATGTCTGTATCAGCAGCACAAAAATGGACAGATACAGAAGTTCTCATGTGTTCTGACATATTTTGAAATAGTCATGCACATAGATGCAAAATTACAACTGTTAAAGGTTATGATGAATTAAGAGTATCTCTGGGTGTGAAATTTAACATGGTACAACTATAGCATCTAACAGGGTTCTCTGACTCAGTCTAGAGGGTCAAGAAAAGTTTCTCTGAGGAAATAGTAATTGAGTATAAATATGAATAAGTAAAATTATTTAGGTGAAAAAGACTGTTCTAGATTGAAGGAACAATATATGGAAAGAGCCTGAGGTGAGAGGAAGCACTCCATGTCTGAAGACACAGAAGAAGGGTGGTGTTAGAAGAGAACAAAGTGGAGCCCCACAGTACAATAAGCTAGAGAAGGAGACATAGCCACATAAAGGATTTTAGCTTTTATTCTAAGAGCAAATGGAGGCCACTGAATGACTTTAAGAAGAGTGACAACATGGGTTAACTTTTTTTTTTTTAATGGAGATGGGGTCTCACTATGTTGTCCAGGCTGGTCTAGAACTCCTGGGATCAAGTGATCTGTGCACCTCAGCCTCCCAAAGTACAGGAATTATGGGCATGAGCCACTGCTCAGCCAGGATTTACATTTTCTAAAAACTCACGGTAAAATGGGGAGAACAGATTTGGAAGAGGAAAGAGTGGATATATGAAGATCAGCTAGAAGGCTACTAAAGTAGTCTAGGCAATATCTTAATCTGTAAAGATAAAAGAGAAAATAAAGAAAAATGAATGGATGTGAAATGTATTTAGGAGTGCAAAACTGACCGAACTTAAGTCAACGGAGGAAATGAGAAAGGAAGACTCCTGAGATGACCCAGGTATATGGCATGTACAATTAGAAGGATAGAGAATACTGAAAGAAGATCAAATTTGCTTGGAGGAGAGGAGAAATCACAGGCTCAATTCTGGACATGTTGTGTCTGAGATGCCTCTGAGATATGTAAATGGCAATCAATGAGGCAGTAGGATATAGTCAGCCCTCTGTATTCAGAGGTTCTGCATTTGTGGATTCAACCAACAGCATATGTAAAATATTCAAGAAAAACAAATGGATGGTTGTAACTGTGCTAAACATGGACAGATTCTTTTTCTTGCCATTATTTCCCTAAACAATACAGTATAACAACTATTTACATAGTATTTACATTGTATTAGGTATTGTAAGTGACCCAGAAATTATTTAAAGTATACAGGGGGATGTGCATAGGTTATATGCAAATACTACATCATTTTATATAAGGGACTTGAATATTCTTCAATTTTGGTATCTGAGAGGGGGTAGTGGGTAGGGTGTCCTGGAACCAATCCCTGAGGACACCGAAGGACAACTGTATACAGTTGTAGAGTTGTACAACTGTAGAGCTCAGAGAAGAAGTCTGGACTAGAGATAAAGCTTCTGAATTGTTTGAGAATAAACAGTAAGCAACAGATACCAGAGGAAATAACATGAGGAAAAAAAAAAGACCACCAAGGACTGAGCCTGAGGAATTTCAACATCTAATTAACTGACAGAAGTGGGTGAATCTGTACAGGAGATTAAGAAAGAATAAATGCTGAGAAAGGAGAAAAACAGGGATAACATGATGTCACAGAAGTCAAGGGAGGAGAGGGTTGTAAGAAATTCATTAATTGTGCTGCATAGCACTAACAGGTCAAGTAAAATAAAGACTTAAAAGTCCACAGGCTTTAATAACATGAAGATCATTACAACCCTGACAAGACCCACGTCAGTGGTGTGACAGGGGTGGAAACTACAACGAAGGAAGTGTATAGAATAAATGGGAGATGCTGTGGTGGTTAAAAAAATTCTGGCCGGGCGCGGTGGTTCACACCTGTAATCCCAACACTTTGGGAGGCTGAGGCAGGTAAATAACGAGGTCAGGAGTTCAAGACCAGCCTAGCCAACATAGCGAAACCCCATCTCTACTAAAAATACAAAAATTAGCTGGGCATGGTGGCATGCCTGTAGTCCCAGCTACTCAGGAGGCTGAGACAGGAGAATGGCTTGATCCCAGGAGGTGGAGGTTGTGGTAAGCCAAGATCGCACCACTGCACTCCAGCATGGGCAACAGAGCAAGAATTGGTTTAAAAAAAAAAAAAAAAAAATTCAATACCCACCCTAAAGATGTTTATTTTAAGAAAAAAAACGTTCATGCCTGTAATCCTAGCACTTTGGGAGGCCGAGGCAGGCAGACTGCCTGAGCTCAAGAGTTCGAGACCAGCTTGGGCAACATGGTGAAACCCTGTCTCTACTAAAATACAAAAAAAAATTAGTTGGGTGTAGCGGTGTGCGCCTGTAGTCTCAGCTACTTGGGAGGCTGAGGCAGAAGAATTGCTTGAACCCGGGAGGCAGAGGTTGTAATGAGCCGAGATTGTCCCACTGTACTCCAGCCTGGGCGACAGAGCGAGACTGTCTCTTAAAAAAAAAGTAAAACTTACTAAGAGATTGTAAAACACAGACACAATGCTACAGTTTTGCTTATTCTTTAAATGCAATAAAAATCCAAAAAAGGAAGGCTCAAAGTAGCTGAGTAACCCTGGAAAGTCTTTATAGAGAACAGTCTTAAGCAGAGTACTTAAGATTCTGAGTGATTGAAAATGTTCAATCTAGATATATTAAATGAGAAAAATACATGATGTGTATGTTGGAGAGGGAGCTGGAATTGGGATGGGCTGGAGTGATTAAAAAAAGCCAAGAGATGTAGTCTGCCGATTTGCAATATAGGCTCAATACTGAATTATTTAGGACTAGATAATCTGGGCCCTAATGTCTCCTTTTTGCTGTCAACCTGGAGGCCAATTGATTAGACTAGAGGGTTCAAAGAGAAAAGGGAATGTAAGAATCATAAATCTATGGTGTTGCTCACTAGTTTTGGATGATGCTACATAAAAGGTAGGGATGAGTAAATTGGCTAAAATGTAATTTTATATTATTTGTGATTTTTAGGCAGTTGAGTGGAGTGGAAAAGAACACAGACTTTATAAAACAAAATCTGCAAAAAATACAGACTTCAGAGCCAGAGGGAATCAAGTGTGAATACTAACTCTGTCACTTACTATATATGTAGCTTTAGAAATGCAATCAATCTCTGCAACTTCAGTTTTTCATTTATAAAATAGGGAATCAAGTTTCTTAGCAAAGTTGTTTCTGGATTTAGAGATGAGATGGTAGTGCTTGATTCCTAAGCATGTAGTAAATGGTGGCTAATACAGTTGTATTAATACTATATGAGAAAACAGGAAATATAGTCAAACAGATAAACCTGTATACATAACATGGGGACATATTGTTTACTGGTGGGCCCTAATCTCTGTTTTCTGTAAGTATTTAGTAAGTAAAAAGCATCAGACAGTAAGGTATAGTTTTGGGACCTACTGTGAAATCAACATAATCTGTCTCACAGACTTTTACAACTAATAACATTACATATATAACCATTCAATAAATATTTAGCAAGTTAAAATATATTCTTACTTTATATTTTTGCAGATATGGGGGCTCCCTCTATTGCCCAGGCTGGAGCACCGTGGCACAACTATGGCTTACTGAAGCACTCGAATTCCTGGGATCGAGCAATTCTCTCAATTTAGCCTCTTGAGTAGATAGGACTACAGGTGCATGCCACCATGCCTGGCTAATTTATTTATTTTTTGTTGAGATGGGGTCTTGCTATGTTTACCAGGCTGGTCTTGAATCCCTAGTCTCAAGCAATTTTCCAATCCTGAACTACAAAAGTGCTGGGATTACAAGTGTGAGCTACCGTACCTGGCCATGTTATGGCTAATTTTGTAAACGACAGAGACAAAAGAAGAGAAAAAAGGGAAAAAGTAAACCAAAAGAATAAAAAAGGCAAACTGGGCGCAGTGGCTTTTGGCTGTAATCCAAGCACTTTGGGAGGCCAAGCTGGGCAGATCACCTGAGGTCAGGAGTTCAAGACCAGCCCGGCCAACATGGTAAAACTCCGTCTCTAGTAAAAATACAAAAATCTGCTGGCTATGGTGCTGCGTGCCTATAATCCCAGCTACATGGGAGGCTGAGGCAGAACAATCACTTGATACCAAGAGGTGAAGCTTGCAGTGGGCCGAGATCACGCCATCACACTCCAGCCTGGGCGACAAGAGCCAAACACACACACACACTCTCTCTCTCTCTCTGTCTCTCTCTCTCTCTCTCTGTCATACACACACACACACACAGAATAAAAAAGGCAACTGTAGTTAGTTAAGGGCAAAAAAAAGAACACAGGAGAAGAAAGGTTAAAGGGATCAGAGAGACGAGACAGGCAGATAGAGAAGAGACAAGAGCTGAGACAGGGAGAATCTGCCTAGATTGCCTGGATCCTTTCATAGCCCTCCCCTCACTATTTCTATTTGATAGTCCAAACCAAAGGCTTAGACTAAGCCTCCTGCTCTGCCAAGCCTGCTTTTCCTTTACCTGATTGTGCCACTGCTGTCATCTCTTGCCCAGCATGCCTTCCCTCATAGGAGTCTCCTAACCAGTACTTAACTACAGACTTGGTATAACCATACAGTGTTCTATGCCACTTCCTCTGTCTTAAAAAACAAAACAAAACAAACAACTCCTATACTTGCACCTGCTAAACTAAGAACACCTTGTGACAGAAATGAGGACGTATGCTTATAGAACACCGGGATCTTCTTTGGGAGTAACTTTTAAGAAATGCCTTTGAAAAACTTTATCATTTTAAGAGATAAAAAGATGGATGAAATGTAAGAAAATATGCCAAAAGCTAAATGAAAAACCCACCCCAAGAGGACTAACCCCAATTTATTTAGTATCTCTTCTTACTGTGTGCTGAGGGCCATCTTCATTATCCCTCATGTAGAAAGGCTTGAGTGCTAATGGATAATTAATGACGAAGACGGGTATGTTGCCACAGTGCTTCACCAGGTACTTTTCATGTTCAGTTTGTAGATCAATACCCCACTGTAATGAGAAGAAAAAAATGACTAAAGGAGAAGACAGAGGTTAAATATACAATTAAGCACCTGAAAATAACCTGCATCAGTTCCAAGGGCTTCATCTTCCTGAGGCTCCATGTATGGAGCTGGCTGCTAAGGTCACACAGCTGACTAAACTAGAGAGAGATTTGTTAACAAGAACAACTGCAGGCCTGGAAAGATGAAAGCTGAAGCCAGTAGATAAACACTATCCTTTCTGTGTCCCCATCACTCCCCTACTCCTACCCGCCAGGAGCAGATAAATAGCTCCTGCAGGAAAACAAAGTCTACTTTACAAGGGGATTAAAAAAACAAATACACACCTGACTTCAGAATCACAGTTTTTATTAATAGTGCCTAGAGCTTCTTCCACAGTTACTGTTCCTATGTCTCAGGAAATTAAATGATAGAAGATAATATTCCTAATATTGAGCCTATCTTTGGCTAAATGACTTCTCTTGGTGACTTTTTTTTTTTTTTTTTGAGACACAGTCTTGCTGTGTCACCCAGGCTGGAGTGCAGTGGTGTGATCTTGGCTTACTGCAACCTCTGCCGTCTGGGTTCAAGTGATTCTCCTGCCTCAGCCTCCCAAGTAGCTGGGACTACAGGTGCCCACAACCAGGTCCGGGTAGTTTTGTCCTATTAGTAGAGACAGGGTTTCACTATGTTGCCCAGGCTGGTCTTGAACTCCTGACATCATGATCCACCTGTCTAGGCCTCCCAAAGTGCTGGGATTATGAGTATGAGCCACTGCACTGAGGTGGCGACTTCTTTTTAAATAAGAGTCAACTCATGTATCAGATGCTCTTTGATGAATATTTATTAACTCTGTTCAATATATTTATTAAGCAAATACTAATATGCCTATTAAATTCTAGGTACCATATGATGTACTGGATGTAGTGGTAAGAAAAATAGTTATAAACCCTGACTTCATGAAGCTTCCAGGGTAGGAGACAAAGAAACAAAAACTTAAACAAAGAATTCATTATAAATAAAACAAGCACAGGTTACTTTTGTAACACATAAAGAGCTGACTTAATTGGGATTAAACTGGTACAAGGAATAGTTTAAACACAAAGGTTTACACATTATCTTATTACTCCCACTTGTTTGGCAGTATCTTAGTTATAGGAAAAAATGATTGGAATAAGAACAAAGAGTTTTGCCTTCAACACTATACACATGCCCACTGATAGATCATGTGGTCTCTCTGAACCTATATTGTTGCTAACAAAACAAAAAAGCTTGGCCGGGTGTGGTGGCTCACGTTTGTAATCCCAGCACTTTGAGAGGCTAGGGCAGGTGAATCACAAGGTCAAGAGATCAAGGCCATCCTGGTCAACATGGTGAAACCCCATCCCTACTAAAAATACAAAAATTAGCTGGGCATGGTGGCACGTGCCTGTAATCCCAGCTACTCTGGAGGCTGAGGCAGGAGAACTGCTTGAACCTGGGAGGCCGAGGTTGCAGTGAGCCAAGACATGCCATTGCACTCTAGCCTAGAGTAAATACAGAGAGAGACTCTGTCTCAAAAAAAAAAAAAAAAAAAAAAAATAAAAAAAAAAAAAGCTCTGGCCCAGCACAGTGGCTCATGTCTATAATCCCAGCACTTTGGGAAGCTGAGGTATGTCAGATTAGCCTAGGCAACATAACTTTGTCTCTACAAAAAATAAAAAAAAAAATTATCTAGGCGTGGTGGCATACACTTGTAGTCCCAGATATTTGGGAGACTAAGTCAGGAGGACTGATGTGAGCCTGGGAGGTAGAATCTGCAATAAGCCATGTTTGCACGAGCCTGGGCAACAGCGAGATCCTTTCAAAAAATAAAAATAAATAAAAAAAAAAGGAGTTCCTTCACAGAAACAGTGGTTGCCCGCATTCTAGGAATGGCGCAAATGAGGTAATATTGATGATCAAAGTGTACACACTGTTAGTTGTAAGATGAACAAGTTTTCAGAATCTAATGTACAGCGTGGGTAGTGACAGATGTGTTAATTAATTTGATTGTCATAATCTATTATACAATGTACATGTGTATCAAATCATCATGTTGTATACCCTGAATATACACAATCTTTTGTTGTTGTTGTTCTTAAAGACAAGGTCTTCCTCTGTCACCTAGACTGGAGGGCTGTGGTCAATCCTGGCTCACTGCAGTTTTAAACTCCTGGGCTCAAGCAATTCTCCTACCTTGGCCTCTTAAAGTGTTGGGATTACAGGCTTGAGCCATCACACTGGGCCTATACAATCTTTATTTATCAAAGTATTGAAAAAAGAAAAAAAAAGAAAAAAAAAAAGAATTCTTGGCTGGGTAATGAGGCATGCTCCTGTAGGCCCAGTTACTTAGGAGGTTGAGGTGGGGGATCCCTTGAGCCCAAGAGTTCAAGATGAGCTCGGGCAACATAGTGAGACCTCCATCTCTTAAATATAAAGTTCTTTAAAAGTAAAACAAAACAAAACAAAACAAAACAAAACAAAACAAATCCCAGTGTTTTCCAGAGTGGCTCACAAACTAAAAGGCTGTATAAAGTTTAACTGAAAGACAAACCTGTTTTAGCAAGCACTAAATCTGAAAAAGAAAAGAAAAAAGAAAAACAAATCTGTTTAGTTATGTTGCCTAAAGTTATTTGGTAATATAATTTCTTTGGTTGGTCATCTTTTAATGTCATTCAGAATATACTTTGGAAAACACAGAACTAGTTGACTTCTGGTCTTGAACTTCTGGGCTCAAGCAATCTGCCTGCCTTGGCCTCCCAAAGTGCTGGAATTACAGTCGTGAACCCCCACACCTGGGATCTACAGTAATAGTCTATGATTATCTTTCTTTTTTAGAATTTTCACGTTCCTAAACATGGGAGATTCCTTTATTACTTCTTACAACCCTTTATAATTTTATAACTATTCCAAAAGATAGTTTATTTTTATTCTAAATTAATTTCCATTTTAAGTATCTCAACAAGATTGAGCAAACATCAAACAAAATCTGTAAGTTTTTGTACAAATGAACAAATACTATATTTTGCTAATAAGATAAATAAGATTATTTTGAAGGATTCTTAATAAAGTAGGTTAAAGATAAGAAGGAAACATTTTCACACACATACACACAAAATACCACCTCTGGGGTAAAGGTGAAGTTCTGGGATGCTCGCTTTAAGATCTCCACTGCTTCAGTGTAAGAAATGCTGGAGGAAAACAATATAGAAGCAGAGAAAAGTCAATACAATAGGGTTGCTAACTAGTTCATTTTAAAACTAGAAAAAGCCTATTCCTCTATCACACTGTGAGGTCATGAGGAAGTACTGAATAATCAGGAATTAAGGCCGATCTAATCCTATGAAAGTCTGAACTGCCTGAAGAGAAGTGACCATTCAGTGACCTCACTCCGCATCTACTTGCAATATACATAGAGAAGCTAGTCACGTAAGCAAGCAGAGACTATTTTCTGAATCCATGATATGCCAGTGCCCTAATACAAGGTATGAAATACCAAGACTACAACCGCAAAAGACTTTTTCCTACAATTCACCATTCATTCATTTATTTATCCAACAGACATATACTTGGCATCTACTAGGCACTAGACATAACTCTAGGCACTGGAGATAAAAATAAAGCTCAGCCATCATGGAGCCAACATGTATGTATGTATGT